TGAAACTGGTTATCTTTGATTTTAAAACAATAGCTGAATTAATTAAATTTTTGTTGATAGTTTATTAGCCATTATACAAGTAAAATGTTAAAATCATGCTTGAAAATTGGTAAATTATTAAATGACGAAATTACTTTCGACGTTTTTTTCGAAAACTTTTTTTTGCGAAAAGACAAAACAAGGGTGCTTCACGAATCTTGAAGTTTTTTTTCCGAAAACTCGGCATTGTTGGGACGAAGAGCTTTGCAACTCTTGACTTCGCCGACAAGCTATTCAGAGGCTATTTATCTGCGTCAGAAGGAGATCGATGCGGTTATCGTGTTTCGTAAGATAGTTTACGCGACATGAACGGGACCCATTGTGCGACTTTATGGTGTCACGCTCGCAAGAACAACGGGTTAAATGTCGAGATAATTTACCGTCCATGAATGCAAGGCGTGGTGTTTCTCCCAATTTGACTGATTATTGGAACGAGAACTATACTTCGCGCTCAATCAGTTGTTTTTACTGATCGCGCACAAAAACATCCAATCGAGATTCGATGCTCTCTCTTTGTCTCTGATATTACTTCGGTAGACTTGAAAATAATCGGAGAGAGGCAAAAAACCGACTTAAAATTAAGTTAAAACAGTGTGAGAATTTTTTAAAATTTTTAGAAGAATACTTCAACGACTTCAAGTTAGTCGCGCGGCCATTGTGGAAACGGCATTCTGGAAAGACAAAGACTGGAGATTTCTTGACCAATTGATGAAAAAGTAAAACTTACAAAAGAAATGTAAGAAAGAAGATAATTTTTTTTTTAACGACATAACTGCGGCACACGACCACCGCTTGGAAGTTAATTTATGTCAGCATTTTAAATATAGCAGGCGAAAGTAAATCCGACGTAGTGAATCCGAGAAGTATGTTTAAACGGCTGAGCTAGCAATCTACTTGATCCAAGCGATATGATACGACATGCTGCGCGATGCTATACATGTTTAACTCTCCTGTTTGGATTTTTTTTTTTTTTTTTTTATATCTCCGCGCTGATTAAATATGCTCTAACACATATTCGACATACGTGTGTACGTGATATACAAGAAAATGTATCCGACACGATATATTGAAATTTTTCAAAGTGTTTCGAATTATTTCTAACAAATAAATGTGTTTCATTTTCGATATTTTACAAAGAATTGAATGAAAATTTTTTTTTACCGAAAACTGAGACTCTCCGTCGAAGTGCGAACTGAACATAATAAAGAAAATATATTGTAATAAAGAAATGTATTGTATAAAGTTAAAATATATACATATATATTGCAATAAAGAAATGTTTTTTCTTTTTACAAACTTGCGGAGAGATTAGAATACAATGTTGCATATAAATTACTGTACGCGCGGCCAATAGAGGTTGGCGGTTTTTTTTTTTTTTTTTTCGTGTGTGGCAATACGTTGCAAATCATGCATATTTTATGAAATTGGCGGTTTACGTGTGCCTTTACTCTGGTGGGTTGTAGTGAGCAGCCAATTATGCTACGCCACGCGACGCACGTCGTCTGTGGCGCACACATGCAAATTCTCTGGCGACATCCGTCGCGTCGGAAAGCATCGACCGGCCGGCGCGTAACGCGGCGTGGAAACAGTATGCTTCTAGCCCATTAGGATGAATGAGGGGTTCAGATATGTGCGTAGATCGTGCGACACCGACGTGCTGTCGCGTGGCGTGAACCAGGCTGATTTGTAGCTTCTCACTTGAAGGCTTATTCAATGTTGGCAGAAGCAGATATTTTCTCTCTCTCTCTTTCTTTCTCTCTCTCTCTCTCTCTCTCTCTCTCTGTCTCTCTCCTCCCTCCCTCTTTCTCTCTCATCTCTTTTTTCTCTCTTTCTCTACATAGAAGAACGGAGAAGAGAGGAGTGAAAGGGAACATGGTACTCCAAAAAGGGTGTGCGTGTAAAAAAGTTTGTTTCGAACGATTCGAATCAAAGTGCACTCTGCTGTTTTTTGCATTTAAAATCTCTGTGATTCTATACAAATATCAGGGGAATACAATCGGAAGCGCAGCAGCTATCTTCCGTTCGAATCTCTGGTGGCCCCGCTGCTGTGTATACCTGGACCTAACCTAAGCCCAAGCGCGGTCCAACCTAATCGATAGTTCGCTCCGAACTTTGAACCCTGGAAACATCTGTCCGCTGTATATCTTCTTACACTCTCCCACGTCTCCTTCCTCTTCTGCTCGTATTTCGCCTTGTTCCGCGATCGGAGGATGATTTCTTTCTTCGTTGCGATCGTTCTGTCCGCGAAAATGCGTGCGCGGTCCTTTTATACTTGTTACCGTCCGAGGCGACGATGGTAGCGGCGTCGGTGGTTCTCCCAGCACCATTCTGCGATCAATATCAGCGCAAACGGCGGCGGCCGCGACTACGATCAACGAGAGTGACTGTGACGATGACGGTGACGAGAGATAGGGGAGAAAGAGAGAACTATCACCACTACAACTAAAACCACCACCAGAGCTCCATTCCATGGCGAGTGCACCAGAAACGATGTGAATATACATATGTATGTACATACACACATACATCTGTGCGTATGCTGTTATGTGTGTGTGTGTGTGTGTGTGTGTGTGTGTGTCCCAATGGCGTCGACGCTGCGCCCGGTGCGGTGGCGCGGGGGGGCCAAGCGGGGAAACGTTGCCAGGCGACGGAAGCTGCTTGCTGCCGCGCGGAGTTCATCGTCCTCCGGCTCGCGCTTCTCTCCCTTGCGCTTGCACCGTTCCAGCCAACAACCCTTCGTCCGTTTCTTTTGGCTTCTCCGCGCGTGTAGCGTCGCGCCGAGGCGAGCGCGAGCGGCCCCGCCCCGTGCTGCTCTCCTCGGTTCTCGTGATCGAAAATGCAAAATGTTTCAACACACAGTACACACTTACCACAGGGAGTTTAACGTGTACTGGAAGGGATGTTAATTGCACGCGCGTTCACGAAAACAAGAGCCGCACGACACACGACGAAGATTGTCACGTGTGATACGAACTTAAATTTCCCCGAGATCCGTCCGTAATCTGAAAATACGCTTCGGTCGATGTACAGGCAGGAATCTCGGTGCGAGCGCTCATTTTTGCTGGAAAAAAAAAAAAAAAAAAAAAAAAAAAACGCGCCTAATTTGAGAATGTAAAGTGGCGCGGAAGGCGCGCGCTCGGGGACGGTAATTTTTTTTCTTTCTGTAGAGAGAATTTTAATCCGTTTTCTCGACGGTCTCTCTTTTTCACTCGATACAATTCGTTTTAATTATAATATTCCAAATTTTATCTTTTCTTCAAAATTGCAATACTATTTTCTGCTCTTGTATTTTTCATTCCTGTCATCTCTTTTTTGCTTCAAAAAGACTCGATTTTGTTCACAAAATGCAAAGGATCTCATTGTTAATAGCGTGATGTAATGGCAAATGTCAATCTAATTACATCGAGGCGATTGGATTTCAACCGACTCCGCCCGGGGAGCTTCATTATCATCGTATTCATATCGAACTCGGGGGAGAACTCGCGCGCGCGTGTACATACAAGATTTTAATAAATAATAAACATGATGTAACACATGAACATCGACATGTATTGGCATTCGGTGCGAACGACCTCGCTTTGCAACGGCAACTGCTCTTGGCTATCGATCACCGTGCAAACTTAGAATGCAAATATCTATAGGATTGAGCGCGCGATAACATGAAATGAAAACTGTTGTATTTCGGGTAAAAACAAAGTGACGATCTTTTTATACTCGTATACATCATCTTTGTTGAATAGAATTCAGCGGCGATTTCAAGACCTCCGTTGAGGGAAAATATCGATCAATTAATAAACGAGCAAGGACACATACGAGGGACGTGGAAAGAAAAAAAAAAGATGACTCACTGGGACAGCACACATGTGTCAGCGTTTGGTCCCTCTACTACGTGGTCGGTATACGCGGACGTGTGTTATGCACGCTCGTACGTACGTACTACTGGTCCTCATCGATCTTGTCGTCACAGTCGACCGAAGGGTTAAAACTGGAGCAATGGATCCGCGTAGCCGCGTCGTTGGTGCCGACAGGCTCGCGCGATATATATCGCGCGTACGTATGTATGCGCGATATTACTTTCGTTTTTAGCCCGGGCTGCAAATTTCACGCCCTTTTTCCATCTTTTTTCGGTATTTACGTCTTTCAGCCCCGTAATTGGCTTCGCTGGCACGGTGCACCGGACCACGGTGCTTCTTTTGTTTGTCTCTGTTTCAAGTTCGTTCTTCCGACTCGTTTCGCCGTATTTCTCACATCGTGCTCACACACGTCTTAATCCCTTTCTCGTTTTCTCTCGCGCACAAAATTTCCGTGCGATTTACCTTCCCCTGTTATTTCTCGTTTGGTTTGCCAGGTCTTGTTTGGGGAAAAAGGGGTTGTTTTTCAAGGTGACGTTACAATATTTCCACGATTAAAATTTCTCAATTTACTTTGAGAGAGATTTTAACAGAAATTTATTATTATTGTTTACTTGTTTAATTATTGTTTGCTAGAGTGTACTGATTATTAATTACTGACAATTGTTGAATTAAGAGAAAAAGTGATTAAAAAATTCAAGAAGCAGAAACGGTGTTGATTACAAACATCTCGTATGTCAAGGCGTAAAACGTTCGCAGATTATATGTAATAAGCTGATTCACCTGTGAAAGCCATGATATCCCACTTACGCGTTTAACGCAGTGCATATGTCTATAAATAGAGCGTGTACTCTCCGCGAGACTATAATCTCTACTTATCCTTGTCTATCCCACCTCACAATGCGACGTTATTTATCTGCGACGTAGTAATAATTCAGAATATATTGTTATACGTTACATAATTACGCATAAGTTATCGTTAACATTTATATCAAAAATTTATTATGTTTTTTGGTTTGGTTTTTATATTCGATAGATGGATTTTCTATCAGAAATATTTTTTTAATTACGTTTCGGTAATTGAAAAACGTTCACTTCCGCCTGTTTCAGAATGTTGATCACAAGATGAAGTTCCGCTCCAAGAAGGGCCAGTTGCCGTTCGTCGAGCTGAACGGCGAGGAGATCGCGGACAGCACCATCATACTGCGCGAACTGAGCCAGAAGTTCGGCAAGGATCTGGACGCCGGTCTCACGGCCGAGCAGCGAAGTATCTCCCACGCCATGATTTCGATGATCGAGAATCACCTAGTGTGGGTTGTCGCGTGCTGGCGCACAAAGAACCTCGATCAAGTGCTGAAGGGCTACAAGGTCAATCTGCAGCTCGCTTTGGGATCACGTATACCCAATGCGATTTTGAACTTCTTCTTCAAGCTCACGTTCGGACGCAAGGTGAGGCTCGCCTGTCGTTCGCCGTGTGATTTCGGTGTGACCTAGCAACTTGGACGTTATTAGAATCACTAGACGATAACTCACGATCCTCATTTCAAACGATTTTCAAATGATTCACTCGCATTTTTTTACACATTTGTATGCAAGTTGTTCACATATTTCCATAATTACATTCCACATTATTTTCATGATAATGTAATGTTGTATGTATGCAGAAATTTTTTCCCTCGACCTCTTTTCTCTTTTTTTTCTGTTTTTTTTTTAAACGCACGAGCTTTCATACGTTCGCATTTTGTTTGATTAATCATGCATGTGGCATATTCACATTTGTAGCTGCGTTCGTGTTAGTACGTTGCTCGTACTTTCAATTTTTCTGGTATTAACAAAAATGAACGGCCGATCTCGTCGATCGGCGATCGATTTTTAACTTTTGAGTTGAGTTTCTGGTCGAGATGATAATCTTTATTTAGATGTTAATAATATGGAATAATTATGGATGACAAAAATGTTAATTTGTTATTTTTTCTTTTGCCGAATACGCATTTCCGAAAATGCGCGCCAGCAATGTCGTATACACAATCTTTATTTGGATTTTACTTCGACCAAGTTTCGCTACTAACACGTTATCACAACTTTACTTCATGCTATCCCCAGAATCATTCATAGTTTAGAGAGTGCACACACTGCGCTTGTGATCGTAGATAATCTATGAATGTGGTAGCTGAAGTAGTATAGAGACAAGAAAACGCGAGCGCAGAACAAAGCAACGTGACCATTTGTAGTGAGATGGTAGTTGGATTGGTTGCAGGGCGCGAGGAAAGTGAAGGCTCAGGGAATGGGCGTGCATAGTCCGGAGGAGGTGTCGCAGTTCGGTTGTACCGACCTCAAAGTGCTCTCGGACACGCTTGCCGACAAGCCTTTCTTCTTCGGGGATGAGCCGACTACCGTAAGTGTTAATAATTTTATTAAACACGCATTTGTCTGTCGCAATAAAGAGACTTCGCACGTTGTTACACCGCGGTATTCAAGTGGTATATTTTGTATCTTGTGTAAATAATAGCTTTGGTTATACTTGTAATTCGATACCGAAGATAATACCGGTGAACACCATCCAGTGTCACCGCCTACGGCAACTGTGGTGTTTGCTGCGTATTGTAGGTCTGTGTTATCTCCCGCACAGATCTTAGAGAGATAACAAATCAAACAAATAACAGTTTAGTCGATTTCTAACGTTTCTAATCAACTTTACTGTTGGTTTTAATAAATAAATTAAAAGCTTCATGGGTTATAGATATCTGTGTAATTCATTAACTAGACAAATCTCAAATTAAAGCGATGATTTGTTTGGTTTCCGCAGATGGACGTGGTGGCGTTCGCGCACCTTGCTCAAATCCTGTACATTGACAAAGACACGCCCTACAGTCTGCGAGATTACATGGTTGAGAACTGTCCCAATTTGGTCGGCCATTGCTCGCGCGTAAAGGAACGATGCTTCCCGGATTGGGACGAAATTTGCTCGAGCCTGGACATGAACACGCATCTGCCGAAGCCTGAGAAGCAGGAGGAGAAAGAGGGCAAGGAGGAGGCGAAGGAGTCCAAAGAGTCCAAGGAGGAGAAGGAAGGCGACAAGGAGAAGGCGGACAAAGAAGAGAAGGAAGACAAGGAAAAAGACAAAGAGGTTGACGAGAACAAAGAAAAGGAGAAAGATGGAAAATAAGCGGTCTCGTTGTAGAAGGGAAGTAATAAGTCGTTTCAAGGATTTAAAGTCGAAAAGTACTGTCGGATGAATAAAAATAGAGAGAAAGAGAGAGGGATAGTTGATGACGGGCAAAAGTGTGCGTGTGCGTGGTTGTGCGAATGTGACGACGACGGAGACGAGAACTCTGTAGAGAGCGTGTATGACATGATAATGAGAGAAGGGAGTTGCCGGAAGTGAAAGATTGTGTGTACGCGAAAGGGAGAGAGAAAAAGAAAGTTGAGACGGAGAATGAGAAGGAAGAGTGCGTGCGTGTGTATGTGTGCGTGTGTGTTTGTGTGTGTGTGTATGTGTAGGAGAGAAACTGAGGGAGAGAGTGAGAAAGATGTGAGATTCAGAACTAAAAGCTCTCTACTTATACATATAGATATTAATAAACTCATGTATAATGTTAATACTTCGTTTATATACACATTGACACACTCGAGACACACACGTACTGGAACGATTATCTTCTAACCCACGCCCTTTCTCTGCTCTGCTAAGAACAAACGAAAAACGGGGCTATCTCATAAGTCATTAGAAACGTAGGATTGCAATATATGAATTTGCAATAGTCTGACGCAGCTGGGGTCTTTGTCGACAGTGGCCAAATGCAATATAGCGCGTATACGCTATAAGATACAAGTAGTAGAAGAAGAAAAACAAAAAGAAAGGAAGAAGCGAAGGTAGAGTCGTGAGCGACGGCATACCGGTCCCCGCCTTCCGGGCGAAGAGCGTCCTACTTCGCTTCTCTTCGATGATCCTTGCTGTGCAAAGTTACCTTGCGTCCTGCGCGCATCGTAACGTAATTTTTCTCCTTAATTTAGTTCGCGATTCTTTTTTTCTTTTTTGTTTTTTTTTTACGTTCATACGTATATCGCGCGTTTTACTTTCACATTGCCGCGCTGGTTGTAGCTTTTGCAAACAGATTTTTTAACGCGATTTTTATGAGATTTTACGAGATTTTTTATGGGATATCATTGGAACCATCAATGTCCATTGATATCCATCTGAGGAAGTACCGTTGCGTCTAAGAGGCGGTTCATAGACGCGACCCGATATTTTAATCGTCGATTATGATAATAATAATAATAATAATAATAATAATAATAATGTTAATATTAATAAATGACTACTATTAAGAAAAATGATAACAATAATAATATTAATAACTAACCGTAATAACGATAGTAAGAACGGAGCTCGATGTGTCCGTACCGAAAACAAGTGTCGGGTTATCGATTGACTGAATTACTTCTCTCGTGTTCTTTCAATAATCGAATCGGGAGTCGAGTCACGCCAATTGACCAGCTAGCAACGGATGTCCTCAGGCAGCCTAATGTAGAATGCAAATGGAGTTGACAAGCTGTATGGAAAAGTAGTTCGATCCGCTCTTCCGTTCGGCCGCAATTCCGTTTGCATTTCAACATCGTCGATCGTGCGCGCAGTCAAATCTTCTTGCTTTAAAATAATACGATACTCATTTTTTGTATTTTGCACGAATACGAAATGCTTTTGCAATCTTCTTTCTCGATCTTTCTAAGTGAAGCACAGAACCGCGATAAGCGATGTGAACGGCATATATATTATTATTATTATTATTTTTATTATTACCATTATTAATTGTATATTATAGATATATATATAAATATATATATATATATATATATGTATATATATATATGTATATATTACGTGTAGACGCGCGCGAATGCAGTCGGACTTAGGTACGCGGAGATGCCATTCGTGTATAATGGAGTCATATTTTTCTCTCCTCCCCCATCATCTCTTTCTCCTCTCATATCTTTGTTTTCTTCTTTTTTTTAAGCGAAGAGACACACACGTAGGTTTTGATCTCTCTTGTTCTGTCCTTTTTTTATATTCAAAACTTAGTGTTGCCCGCACGTGTTTTTTTTATTATACTTACGCGACTTTTCGGACGTGTCAAGAAAAAAAAAATTACCTTGCGTAATACAAAGTGTCTTTCATGCATCGAAAATCGACATTTTGATGTATAACGGGAATTGAGGTTTTTTCTACGAACTTGCGTAGCGGCTGCGTAGTTTTTCTACGGCAGCTGACAAAACATATTCCACAAAGACACGAAGATATATTACAATTTTTAAGTAGCTTACTGTATTATTGATAACGACATGATCACGTAAAAACAAGAAAAAAAAAAGAAAAAAAGAAAAGTGGAAAAAAAGATTTAGTGGATGATGCTGTTTATACTTAGGACGGCGCATATGTTTTCACTTGTGGTTATATATTATTATATGGATTATTATGTATGAATGAAGAGTAAAATATAAATTAGAGAATGAAAGAAAACAATTTTTTTTTGGACAAGACCATAACGTTGCAAGCACAGTAGATAGGCCCACCCGATAAGTAAGATTATTATACATATTATATATATATATATAAGAGGAATATATTAATAATTATATATTATATATATATAATACGACTGCTCTCGTTTTATGCTCGGCGCTATACATTTCATTGTCATTATATCACCATTTATTAACGATATACATACGAACAAATAAAATGTGTTTATAAATATAAAGTGAACTTTAAGAAAGTTTTTTTTGTGGTAACGTGTGTGTTTATTGCAATCCACTCTACAATTTCTCTTCGTGTAAGTAATGTGTGTTGGTGTGCAATTTGTGGACTTGTTGCGCAAAACTGTAAAATAGAAAGAAGATGTTACACAAAAAAAACAAAAACAGTGAAAAGCACATATCAGCGAAGGAATAATTTATTATCTAAACTTTGAAGACTTATACACAACAATTGAGAAATAACACTTTTTGGAATATTGGATCCATAAGGGATACGTTTCATTCGTGCGCGCGTGTATCGAGGTTTTACTATACATATAATATGGTTTTCTAGATTTTGCGATCTCGAATTTGTTTTTTTTTTTTTTTTTTTTACCAGATACTCTTCGTATTTTCTATATTCGGCACATAGATATGTTTTAATATTGCTCTAATCCAATAATTTAACTTTTTATCATCCATACGCAGAGTTGTATTTTTGCGCCTCAATGTTATTACATTTTGCGATCTGATTGCTATTAGTTTTTATTAATTTTTTTTTTTTTTTTTTTTATACAACTAAATCGAAACACTTTTTACTTCTAAGTTTCCTTACGGCATGCTTATCGTGTGGAAAGCATGTGAATGATCAATTCAATTGATGCCAGATGAGCCAGATTTTATATTAGGAAAAAAGAAACGCGGGAGCACTTAGAGTGTTACCTTCGCATGAGCACATACAGATGTATCGCATCTAGTAAATTATTCTATATGACACGTATTCTAACAAAATGAGCGGAAATGATAACGAAGTATATAATTGACGATTTTATTATATTCGCTTTACGTCTCGTTGGCGATAAATATTGCTTGTTTCAGAACTTGTAGATATACGCATTATCTTTTCTTTTTGTCTAGTTCTGTTTGAGTTTCTATCGGTTTTACATTTAAATTCCAATTACACTATGCACAGGTTGAATTTAGAAATTACTATTATCAATTACTTTGTTTTAGAGTTCTCATTAAAAGCCTAACTATATCGTTTTATTCACATCATTTACGTTTTTCAAATCTCGTTTTGAATTTTCGTTTCTGCGGTATGTATACGATGCAACGTTGTTCGTTGACGACAAACAGGAAAAAACGACAGCCTAATTGAGATTTTAACGAATACTACTTTTAGAGCAATATGTATAGCGTATTAGTCATTCAAAATGCAATTTAAATTCACACTATTGAATATAGTGTGACATTGTTTTGTAATTCCTTATCTTAAATTACTACCAATTATGTTGTATTATCACATTATATAAATCAAACCTGTCCAAGTTAATCGTCTGAAGACACCAAGTGAGTCAGTGTGAGATGGACAAACTTTTTGGCTCGCAAGCCTGAAGTTGAACAGGCTTGTTATAAATTATCATCTCCAAGTCGATATCTTTTTTGTATTTGTGATAAGTTTCGAACTTACCATTTGAATTCGCGATCTAACACACCTAGTCAAATCACTGTCGATGACTTATTGTATAGAAACGATGCTCGAATTGGTCAGCAAACTATTTTTTTTTTCTTATTGGTACCCGCGCAACATCGCTACAAAAATAAATTATTTTCTCATGCATTACGCTCACATTCGATCCTATACAAAGAGTCGCTCTGTGCCGTTTGCTCACTATATCCGTCGAGATAAAGGACTTTTAGTTAGAAAAATAATAACATCTCGGTTTTTTCCGCCTTGAAGAAGAGCCTGCTTTGAGTGGTACACACACGTATATCGTACTTTTGTTTGAGAGAAAATTGCGGAGGGAATTACCATTCGATTTGTCGAGATTGTGTTCATCGGGGAACATAGACGGGGCTTTTGGAGGGCCGCTGAGAGATGAAGAGAAAAAATCTCAGAAGGCTGTGCTAGCCTCAGCTGAGACTTGTCGACTCACACGCCGGACTCTGAATTCGAACGTCCGACGTGAGATTACAGCTACGTGGACGCGGCGAGACTGATGGACGTTGACTCGGTCACAGCCGATTTCGGTTTCACATCCAGGGAGTCGTAGAGCGGGAACTCGCAGCACAAGATGAACTTGAGAAACCGCGGCACCTCGACGTAGATAGACGGCGGTATCGGTATTAGCGGTGACGTGGATTTCTTGTAGTAACGGTATTCCGCGTTACTGAAATCATTTTTACAAGTTAAACATTACATAGCTGAAGAGCGTAAACAATAAATGTCCAAAGAATTTTACTGGATTGATTGCCCGATGTTTTTATTGCACATATAAGAAAAAAAACTCACTCCCGATATCTCTCATCCGATGCTTTTTCCAATAATGGCATTCCTGACAGGAACAAAATAATGAACGTCGTGAAAATCGGAGAAGCGATAACCACCCACTCCGCTCCTTCAATAACGTTCAGAGATATTACGAAGATTCCCCACCAGACAACGATCTCACCGAAATAATTTGGATGCCGTGACAGTCTCCAAAGTCCTAAAAAAGAAAAACATCAATTTGATGAGAAGATTAATCTCAACTGCTGTTGAGAAAAAAACAATAAAAAATCTTGTAAAATCTCACATAATTCGAGTAATAATAACGAAATTTCTCTCGTGCGCGAATATAAAAAGCAGCGCTCGTTAGAAAGTTCTGCAAACGTAATTAGAAAACGATTTCTCACCGTCGTTGCACCATTTTCCGTTATTCACTGGATCCTGCTTGAAGGCGAATTTTTGGAGATCGGCGTAGGTTTCGGCCAACAAACCGATCAGGAAGAGACCCGTGCCGGCGCTGTCCAGAGTTGTCATCGTTTTCGGAGCGGGCGGTATTTTGTGACGCGGAGAATTGATTATTATCACAGGCAGACTGACAACGTACACCCATATAGCCTGCGAATCATCAATGTTGTTTCAATATCGTTTTTTTTTTTTTTTTTTTTGCAAAAACATTTCGCAATCATGCTATTACATATACACACATCGTAAATGAATTAGTTCACCTGAAACGTCCAAAATACGGCGAAACGGATCACGTTGCTGCGACGGTCGTCGAATCTTTTGTCGCGTCCTATTTTGATTATTCTATAGAGAAGATATCCGGAAAGCCGCGCACCCCACAGGCACACGAACACGGTTACCATAACTTGTCGGCTGTCGTATGTCTACGCGCGCAGAGGGAGAGAAACATGAATTATTGTCACTTCAATTTACAAATGGATAGGATAGGATACGTCGTAGAAGATGTGTAACGATTGTCGTAAAAAGTTTTTCAAGAACATTTGTTTGTCTGAGATCTCCGTTCAACTCGGAAGTAGTTTCTTCGTGCTGTATAAATATATACGCTCGTGCGATTTAATACATTGCGTGCGTAGTTGATTTTTATCTGTCGAACGCGCGTCTGTCTGCGTGCACACGTCCGCACGTGTGCACAAGAAAATCGAGAGAGGACAGGGGGAGTTGTGTAAAGCAGTGACAGCATTGAATTACCTTGCCCACTTGACCGAGAAAGAAAGTGAGGAGCGCGAGGATGATGAAGTTGGTGCCGCCAGCGAAGTCCGTCACTTTGTCCATCTGAAAGGTGGCCGCGATCGTGAAGAAGATCAGCTGCATAACGACGGTCACGATCGCGCTCACGGCAAGATGGTCCTCGTCCAAAATATCGACCGCCATAGTTTAACGACAAGCGCGTCGATTGTCTCTGATGATGATGACGAATTATCTCAAAGTCTGTAAGACATTTTTTTGTCGTCTGGTCAGTAATTTTAACGTCAATTTTCTTATAAAACCCTGATGTGGTTTACAGTGTGCGATAAACTTATATATTTAATGTACAATTTCCACAACACATTTCATATTAAATATAAAATTGCGTTAATTTTGTCCGCGCAGAAAGTACAGAAAAAAAAATAATAAGCAGTTTTTCTGACACCGACAATTTATTTTGAAAAAAAAAAAATAAATAAGAAAGTTAAAAAAGAATTCGACCCTTTTAGATATTAGATAATATTCTGGCCGACAAATATTTGTAATGCATTCTACGCGCTGCGAGTGAAGATGTTTGTAAGTACGCGTGCACATATCGGCACATACATCACACTTTCCGCAATGCGGGAAGAAAGGACGGATACACGTCGAAAAGAGATGTGCAACACACAACTCTCGGAAAAATTCGCGGAGAAATTTATGACACAAGAAGTACTCTGTATATTCTTGGCAACAATATTTTGAATAATTTGAGAGCGTTCCAGGGCGTGCAGTAGCTAATAAATTTCAAACTACCTTGAAAACTGCCGTCTCTTCTACGCGATTCCAGAGTACACATCTCTCAATCACCTATGCGTAATTATCAACTTTTATCAACGAAAAGACTCATTAATCTTTGTATTACCGAGCAAGGTACAACAATCGCGAAAAAAAATATACGCGCACGCGATGTGTAATACACGTATATATATGTATACATATGTATACTGTTGTGTAAAATACAGATATCAGATATTTTTCATTTTGACGTTATCAGCACTGCTCGCCGATAATGTTTTATCAATGTCATACAACTCGTAAAATTGTATTATTATTTGCGATTTGAACTTGCGAAACAGCGTTCTTTCAGATTTTCCGTAAAATATAATTTTCTTACAAATTTTGCATAAACACACCTGTGACTTATTTCGACGTGAACCAAAGGAAGTGCTGCTGATGAAGCGTCGAAGCTCCGTGAAAAGTGAAATGCGAGAAGTTTCTTTCCTAATTTTCTAAACCGGAGTAGCAAGCGAAAAATACGCAGAAAGTTACCTTTCTCGAAGAGGGTCGCATTTCTTGCGGTGCTGCGCTTTCGACGCTACGTTTCTTTTCGTTCAGCTTCGTTCGGACGGGAAGCGCAACCGACGGGAACTTTGCGATGTCACCGCGGCTAAAACGAGCGCGCACTCCCGCATTCACGGATAATATCATGTGCAAGTCCGCCGTGACTTGCGCGAAGTCCCCGCGCACGTTGACGACGGTGAACGCGAGATGCGTCTCCGCCCCTTCCACCGAGAGCGGCGGAATCGCGCACCCCGTGCACCTCCTCCTCGCTCCTCTAACTCTCTTTTTCTCACATGATGACGCGCACTCTTGGCAGTGCCACAAGTCTTCTTTCGAAGCCAGACTTCAGACTGGGCCGAAATGGGCCGAGGAGGACACTCCTGACATCGTCATCAGGATCACCTGACGAAACCATTTTTCACGCGTCCTAGTTTACTTGCCATTGTAAAATTTCAACTTCTTTTTTTTTTTTTTTAGTGTGGAATTATGTCTTAATTAGTTTAAATTGCAATTGTACGCGATCCGCGCGAGTTAATTTTAAATTAATTTTAAAACTGCGTGTGTGTAAAACTACTTCTTTGCACGAGCTTGTGCATAAACATGTCACAAGGAGATATATATTTTTAGTTCAGGGCGCTGATACATGATAAAACGGCTCTATCTCATCGGATTTCTTTGTCACACTCTCAGCCATCTCTCTATATAGCTCTCCACCTCCGCCTTTAAACTCTCTCCCCTCACAATACGTTTCTCTCTCTCTTTCACTCTCTCTCTCTCTCTCTCACCTTTGTCCTTCACCCTATTCCCGCTTTTGCATAATCTATTTCCTTCCTTCCGCTCTTCGTATATTCTGCAGTCTTCGCAATATTAAACGATTATGTTGTTATTTCTCATTTATATTGTCTCTTCTTGCTCATCTTCTTCTATTAATCACTACTGCATACTTTTGTCTTCTTTCTTATATTTTTCTCCTTCCATTATGCTTTATCCTCTGATCATATTTTCCATTTCTCTTCTTACTATCCACTTCTTATTATCCAATTTTGATGCCATTTATCTGTCCGATTCGCATGCATGGATCGGATCGTGTACCTGTTTAGCGCCATTATCTTGGAACGTGCTTGTTCTCTATTCAATTGGGGAACCGGCGCAATGCAATTCGGTCCATCAAGCCAAGAATCAATACCACATGCGCCGGCGCTACGATGAAAATGCTCGGCGTAGAAATTACGCGTCGATAACTGCGTCGACACCTCCGCATCTCCCGACGCAGTCACACCGCTTTACGTAATTCTTTTCTTTTTTTTCAATACGAAACTTCGGAATGAATAAATATCAGATTAGGATAAAAATAAGTCATATTTTTATTCCTATTACATATTATCCAGTATTTCCTTAACAGTAAGATTACGAATACAAATAAAATATTTCCACAGTTTTCACACATTCATATGTAATGAATAAATTTATTAAAAAAAAAAAAAAAGAAGAAGAGGTAGTGACCTCTTTATAAATCTCTATTGTTTCGTGAAACTTGAATACATTTCGACTGCGTAACAACAATGATATTTATACATCGCAATGAATTGTGAATGATAGTCTCTCTTCAACGACATATTGTTCATCTTAATCTTAATATAAATATATATATATATATATATTAAAAATCCATATATATTTATTTCAAAATGCCAATTGAATTTGCGTAGTCTAGTGTTGTCTTCATTCTCCCAGCGCAATCTCTCAATACATCCCGCTTAATTCTAGGTTCGAGTATACTTGCCCCAAATATGAAGCATGAATACAGATGCAATAAATAATAAAGACATCACAAGTACTGGTACGGGACCTCTGCAACAAAAGTGTTTACATGTAATAGAATACTCTCTAGTCAACTTATACAAATCTTTCAAAAGTAGAGCAATATGTGTATGTGCAAAACTTATTGTTGCTATTATTATTTGTTTCTAGAAACTAAAAATATATGCAATATATATAATTCTCAAGAATATTTTATATAAAGAAACAAAATATAAAAGTAAAAAAACTAAATGTATTTGTGTAAAAGAAAAAGTACGCGAAATATATTTTTCTAGGACTAATATTGTATTTATGATGGTAGAAAACATAATTGTCCAAAAGAAATATACATTAGGAAACAAATAATTCTGAGTAATTCAAGATGGATTATACACACATATGGTATGTATACAATCCCATAAATTCTTTATAAACTACTTACACTTTAATACCAGGAGAATCATCTGTGTAGAACCTCCACATTCCACCGGAGCTCGTGCCAGTATTTCTGTTTCTGGTAGAAGTAGCCACGGTACTCTTCCTCTGTCTTACTGTGCCACTGCCACCTGTTCTTGGTGCTATGGCTTTACTGGGCGATCGTCCAACCGAGCCCACAGTGGTAGCACTAGGTGCAGCAGGCTGTTTTTAAAAAAAACATAAAAGAAGAAATTGTAAAGTTTATTCTTCTCAACATGTTTTCGTTCAAAAACTATCGTACTCACCATCGTGTATGATTGTTCTTGTTGTTTCTGTTGCAAATAAGAAAGAAAAATCAAAGGAAAATCTTCCCTTCAATAAACCTTCAAGATTCTGTTGTTGACGAGCTACACCGTAATTGCGCTTGTTCTGTTCCTCAATGAATGTAAATTGTTACAAATCGAAATGCACCAACGAAACGTTTGGAAGACAATTCATTACTCGCAGCTGTGCAATGCGAGACAACCAAATTTATACTTTCCGGACGATCCGAACGCAAACTAGCAGTACGGTACGGAGAACGCGGAGATTACCAAGCGACGTGTCATCCGCATCACCCACGTGGTATACGCGACGACACGTCATCACCTATGGTCATTACCCGCAAATACAAGACATCATGGCAGAAACTCGTTCACACTCTGTCCGTTAAGCTCGTTCTACATTGGGTGCGTTCAGACAACTCAACGGTTGAGAGATCATCACTTATGATAGGACTATTCTTCAAAATCTAATGCGGTTCCAAAAGTATGATCCAATCAGAAGTGATTATCTCTCAACCGTTGTGCAACTGTTGAGTTGTCTGAACGCACCCATTGATCGCAAGCGCAAACGCAAGGTATAGATCTCGTAGAATTGACCAATCACGCGCTGGTCACTTAGCTGATTTGATCAATACGATTAGTCAATTCTACCAGACCTGATCCTTGCGCTTGCGATCAATGTAGAACAGGCTTTATATATACACTCTTGCACTTAAAGCCCCTTGCACAATGGAAGGAATAGCGATAGCGATAGAAATAACACAGTTTTTAAAGCCCCTTGCACAATGGAAGGAATAGCGATAGCTATAGAAATAACACAGTTTTTAACACAAAATTCCAACTCGCGTCGGAAATTTTATCGCTATTGCTTATTCCGATTTTCTGATCTGCATTGATACATGTGTATTTTTGTATGTTAGATTCCGCTGTTCCTACCTTTATTTTTAAATATAAACTCTT